GAGAGAGAGAGAGAGCGTTCGAGTCTGGCCATCAGATAAAATCTGATGGATGCTCCTCGCCAATTCTCTCCGTGACGTATCTGCGGATATAACTCAAGGACTATCGCGTGATTTCGCACGATTGCACCGAGTGGGATAATCAGAAAGTCCTTTGGGAAAAATGCGATCAACAATTCGAAGTTGTTTTTGCTTTTGGAAAAAAGAAAGAAAGTTGCAGGAAATCGAGTCTTTTTAAAAATCAATTTAAAATTTTCTCAAGCTATTTTTCTTTGTAAAACTTTGCCCACGTTTTGCACGAGTTGTAAATGAATCACTCCTAAAGGAATCATAGTTACAACAAGGATGAAGAAAGAAATGGGGGGAAGAGGAAAGAAAAAAATGGAGAAGAATCAATAGAGGAACGTTTCTCCGCGTTGCTTCTGCGAAAAGCTGCTTATTAGAGGCAAATTGCCATCTTCTTTTCCAAGTTGATGCCGCATTGTTGCTCGATACTCGAGGAATCGATACGATACGAACGAGTTATGCTCTCGCCTCGACCAATTATTTAAAGAAAAAAAAAAAAAAAAAAAGAAAAATAATATCTTTCAACGTGGAGAAAGAAAAATCAATTCGTGTAAAATAATAATAACGTCAAGAGGATGACGTTGAAGAAAATCGTGACGCATTCGAATTGTTGTAATTTTTCTTTCTGACGAAAAGAGAGACAATTTTTGCTACGAAGAAACGTATGCCCCCCCCCCCCAAAAAAAACGAGAACGACCCTCAGAAAATTGCAAGCTGTGAAAAATTCGTGGCCGACTCGGCGTAATTACGTGTCACTGGGTTGATATTATAGTTAAATACGAGTTTGAACGTTAATAAGTCGGTATAAAAACATTGATGGTAAAAAATGCCGTTCATAATCAACACGACGATATTTTCGAGTATGCGGGAAAAGTATGATTTGTGGCTTGTCCGCGCTGTTATTAATCGATGATTGCCGATTCGATATCGAGCCAGTTTAAATTACGACGAAATATCGTTTTTAATAACTATCGTGTTATTAAGAGATAGATATTCAAGCTTTTAATTTTTCAATTAAAATGCTAAATAAGAAAAAAAAGGGGGTAAAAAAAAGAGAGAACAATAAAATAAATTGAGAAAGAGGAATAAAGAAATTATATAATATATATATATATATAAATCGCACGATTTATTTAAATCTCTGAATCTCTATCGTTATTAAATACCACGATATCTATCCAGATTTATTTTTCAAACTCTCGTATTTCGCTAACGAACCGCACACTCTAATTCCGGACAAAATTACTATTTACCACCGATAATAACCGATGCGTTGAAAACTGCAACCACTCATCGCATCACGAACTAATCCATCCACTGCTTTCAAACACCATTACCGCAAATTAGCCGGGAAAACAAACATTTAATCCTCTAAACGAGCATTCTCTCTCTCTCTCTCTCTCTGTCGTCTGGCTCGCGTTTATCCGGCATACAATTAAAATCTACGGGTCGGTTGATCGGTGTGGCTGGGTGTCGACCAAGAGAGGAACGAGAGCGGTTTGGCTACGAATCGGAATTCGGCTTCGTTTAATGCACCTACGCGGGGATACTAACAAGCACGTGGATGCTCGTTAACGCAGAGAATGCAAGATAGCCCGCGTTAACGAAATTTACGGAGGGAGTCGCCGGGGTAACGAGTTTGGGGGTATCGGCGATCTTGAGACACTCTTGATCATCCACGGATCTCGAGGTTCGATTTCGAGAGGAAGAAGGAACGGTGGAGAACGTTCGACGAAGGATTAATTCTTGATGCTGCGGAGATGACGTGGAAAAAAAAAGAAAAATATGGAAAAGGTGAAACGTTACTTTATAATCTGGCGATTTCCGCTCGATGATGAGATATTCATCATTTCACGCGCGAAAGGTGAGATGGCGTTTGTACATTTACTCGCAAGAAAGCCTACTGTCTTTTCTTTATTATACGCATCGCATTAATTATTTTATTCCAGGATCGGAGGAGAAATTGAGAAAAGTGATATATTACTTTATAATTTACAATTCGTTGTACGAATTGATCAGCCGTAAATGTTGCGAATAAATATTCCTTGGACAGTCGCTCTCGGCCTTTAATTTCTATAAATGACGTATAATTTCCAGCGGAGGAAGCCTTAAAAGGTTTTGCACGCGCCTCGCAACACATTGGCAAGATACCATCCTGGTAAGGTTCGATCGGATTAGCATAGGTTTCCGCGTTCTCCCGAGGAAAAGGCGCGTTGTGAATCCGGAATTAATCGGAAATAAATCGCACTTTTGCCAATGGAGAAAGAATAATAAACGGTTAAAATAATCGATATTGCACGGGGAATCGAGAACTACTTCTACGCACAAACAAATTCCTTAAACGGCCAAATAAAAACAATTCAAATAGTTTCTCTAGCATACGTGAAACTATTCTATAACTTCATTAAAGAAACCCGTTGATTATTATCTACCTTGCGAAAGGTAGAGAGATCGAAACGTAAATGGAATTTCAATCTCGTCAACTTAATTTTTCGCTCTAATTCCAACGTCTTGTGAAATTATATTAAATGAAAATTACGAAGGAATGGCGATCGTCCAAATTTCTACCTATCCTCCCCGACAATTTCCTCGAGAGGACCGAGCTAAGAGATCTAAATCTAATGGAAGGGGGTTGCCAACGATTTTCACGCGCGTGAAAATCGCTGTTAAAACTCGCGAACGAAGTCACGGATCGATGTTGACGCACTTTAACTTAACCCGACCGACGATTTACGAGCCGACATTCCCCCCTCCCTTTCCCCTTCCTTCCTTTTTTTTTCTCTCCTGCTGCCTCCCTATCCGCTGAAAGATCGGCACATAATGAGGCTTAACGATCGGGCCGAGACCACGTTGACGCGCAACCGACCTCCTCACGAACCCGACGAAAAATGAATACTTGATTCACGGCGCGCATGCACGCCACCGTTCTCCATCGCGGAGGAAAAACCAGCGTGGGGTGGAATCGATATTCCCGCGGAGTTTAACGTCCCTTTCTCCGCAAGGCCGGACGCCTCTGCATCCCGCTCTTCCGCTTCCTGTTTGCACAACTCGTGCTGCGTGACGAATCGCCAATCTTGATCGAAAACGAGAGCCAGAAGAAGAATCGTTTAATCTCGTTCACCAGCGTTCATTGTTCATTGTTCGGCGAAATATTAATCTCGATCGGATCCGAGCCAGAAGAATTAATTTTGTTCAAATGTAGCAGGGGAACAAAATTCGTGACGAATCGCCAATCTTGAATATTTTAATTTCGCTATTGGAATAATATTTTTTAGCGTGGATTATAGAACAGCCTGATAACGATGATACTTGTATATCGACAAAAGGTATTTAAAAAGATATTTTGTGAAGCCTCGATTTGTATTTTCAATTATGCTTCGAAGATATTATAATTATATAATCGAGTAATCAAAAATGTTTTGTGGATCTGTGAATTATTTCTCTGCCGAGATTCTTTTCCTCCAAGTCCCTTCATTAACCCAATTAGTCGCAGTAGTTTAACACTGAAATTGGCCCTATCTATCTCACCACTTGACCTTGATTTCTTTCTACGAGCCTTTAATTAATCAAGATTGATACGTGTGCGCGCATTCCATCGTTAAAATATCCCAAACAAAAGAAATGTTTACCCGGCAAATGAGGGAAACATTCGTAATTCGAAATTAATCGGAATTACACGGACCGGATTCGAGCACGGAATTCAACAACCACGTTCCTCGTTTCCATTCGATTGAATATGTATGAGAGTAATGAGGAATTGCTCGAAAGAAAAAAAGAGGGAGGAGAAAAGGAAAAAAATTGGCTCGATCCGTGGTCGATTAATAATGCACGCGAGACTAGTTGGAAGGCATTAGCCCGTTTCTCGCCCATAACTCGCCGTTAAAGATGAAATCGGATAGATAGATAGATGATAGGCCTGTACAATGTATCGAATGGGGATTGTTACAACGGTGTATTACCGTAATAGCCTCACGATTGATTTATCCAATGCCCCGAAAACGATCACGAAACAACACGAAAACTTTGGACGGACGCTCTTGGGCTGTCCCCGATCGAGGATGATCAAAGGAATATTCAAGAGAACGAGAGAAGGTACGAGAACGCTGTGCGAAGAAGAAGAAGAAGGGAGAAAGAGAGAAGAGGATCGAATTGGCAAAGACTCTGTAGAGGTAGAGGCCGCCGGTGCGCGAGGAAAGCTGGCAGTTTCGAGCCCGAGAGAAATAAACGAAGTGTATATATAAGAAGAAACCCCGGGGGAAGAGAGAAGCTAAACGTGGTAGGAGCTAAGAGCCGGATCATCTAAGAGCCAGATAGAGGAATCAGAAAGAACAGGCGGAACGTGCTGGAGACAGGAGGAAAGAGAAAAGGAGTGAAAGAATGGAGAGAGAGAGAGAGAGAGAGAGAGAAGCGAGGAGAGGAGAGGTTAAAAGTCGAGGAGCGGAGGGACGAAGACAATCTGGAAAGCTAACGCGATAATGTCTGGAGGGGATGAATCGAGCGCGAGGAGGAAGAAGACGAACGCCGTCCGACTGAAAAGGACAAGCGAACACAGGGGCAGCGTACTGGATCACCGGACGAAGCGGTTAGAGGAGCCAGAAGTAAAACGGAGAACGTTCCGTCCAGGTGGAAGGAAGAGGTGGTGGTCGGTGAAGAGGAGGGGAGAGAGAGAGAGAGAGAGGGTATAAAGGGAATAAACACGAAGAGAGCAGGGGAGAGCGGAGGTCTGCGACTACGGAAGGGGGGGGGGATATACGCGATACGGCGAGATCGGAGGTGGAAGAGGAAGAGAGAGGATCGGGAAAGGTGTTGGGACGAGAGTAGGAAGGATAAGTTGGGCAGAAGAGGGGAAAGCGAGTCGTGGGTTGCCTATCAGCAGTTGGTTGCACGGAGTGGTGGAAGGTTGGGCGGTTACAGGTTGGCAAGTTCTCGTTGCAGCCGGCAGATGTCGAGTGGTCGCGCCCCTAGACAGGGTCTTCACCCCTGAAAAGGTCAGCTCAGGGGCGTAGCGGTCGTGGAATCGACGCCCAGAAACGCCCATCGTCGACCCTCCCGCCGCTTCCTCGCCGCAGACGCTTCGCGGCAACCAACTGGACAACCAGCCCGGCCTGGATCCACAGCGTCGCACAACGGTTCCGTTGAAACCCGCGTCTACCAGCGCCGTAACAGCCGAACACCAACTCTCTCTCCACGTTTCGTCGTCGATCGTCCCTTTCGTCGAGCATCGCGTCCCTCTTCGTCCTGATTCTTCGTGTCCTCGCCACGTTCACGAGCCCCTGGCCTCGGGGCTCCCGCCTCGGTTTCCTCTCCTCGTTCGAACGGTGCGGCGTTTGGTGCGCGTTTGCTCGTCCCGTTCGTTAACCACGACTCGATCCTCGACTCTTTCCACGTTCGACCTGGGTTCAAGGGGCCAAGGAGGGGCGCGAAAGTGAGAGTGCGATGGGTTATGGACGTATCGAGAGGAGTTCAAGGCGGCACGACGGGTTAGTGATGCCTAGGGATCTCGGTGAGGACGATACCACGCCTCGTTCTCGGTTCGACTGTCGGTCGAAGTAATGAACTGGCGGCACCGGTGGACCGGTTCTTAGTGCGTGTCCCGCTCGAACAGGTAGTTTCGCGATCGAGATGGGAGATAAATACGAAACTCATCGTGGCAACCCGTCATGAACTGGGCTGAACAGTGTCCGTCGGCAAGATACCGGGGGAGGAAGAGTTTACGCCTAGTGATTGTAACAGAGGCGTAGAGTAACTGAAACGTGTGTGAAATATTTCCAAGTTTTCGGCGAATGAAAAGAAAAGTGCGTCTCTCTAACGGTAGAATTCTAAAATACTATGCGATACTATGCGATTGAAAAGGTATCCAAGAGTTAATGATCCACGGACGGCTGATGAACGGACAGGTGTCCCGTGCGAAAATGACGATCCCTCCTGGAAACGTGCAACGGACGGAATCCGTTAGGTAGGTAGTAACTTTAAACTTGTCCCAAACTTGTCAAACTTGACAAGTAGAACAAAGGGAATAAAACGAAGGGAGTAAGACGAGAAAGAAAAATCCTTGACCGTCGTGATGGGAGGATCAAAGTCGAGCGAGGCTTAACTACTATTGTTCCTTCTTCTTCTTCTTCTTCTTCTTCTTCTTCTTCTTCTACTACTACTTCTTCTTTTTCTTCTTTCTTTCGATCGACTCGACGAAGGAGGAATTCGGTTCCAAGAGAGGAGGAAGAAAACGCAAAAAATAAGAGAAAGAAAAAAAAAAAGATAAACACGTAGAAACATGTCGAATACGCCACCGGAAGCATCCACCTGTTTAGATTCGAACGATCTCCACCACGAGATCAGGCAGAATCACCTGGCGACTCGATTGGAGCTCGACGAGTCCGAGAAACGCGATCAGATACGAGGAAGTGACGGCAACAACCCTGACAGCGATTGCGAAAGCGACACCAGCGAAGTGTTGAGCGTCGGTAGCGAACCGACGCCCACGAGCGTCGTTGGAATCCGTGGTTGCGGCTCGGTCAGGTATGACCAGGAATCGGCGAGCAGCCGTGGTGGTGACTTTCGCGACGAGGAGAACACGAGGACGTCGGCGACACCATCGCCTTCCAGCTCAACGAGCTGCAACGACGCGTTCTATCAGAGGACGACTAATCACGTCTCGGCACCAAGTCCACCGGCTTACAGTCAACCACCTTCGTCGCCCACGGCGTCCTCGGTCAGGTCACCGGCTTCCTCCTCGGCCACCGCCTCCTCCCCGGGTCGGCCCGAGGCTATTCAAGACGTCATAGTGCCCAGGTATCAGTCGAATCATCCGCCGCATTTGTTACCGCGTTATTCGTCCAGGGAGACCGAGATCCCCGATTATCCGGCTCGGGTCCAGCACAGCCTGAGTCACGAGATCGTTTACCCGTCCGTGGAGAGGTTGCACAGGACCCCGATCAGCGTTCCACTGGTCACCAGATTGTCGTTGTCACCACCGTCGGCCATGACGGTTACCGGCCTCCAGGCTACCACCCCTGTCCTCCATCCGACCGCGTGCAGGGATCCACGGGAAACGGCCTCGTTGATGCCGCATCCGGCCCAGCATTTGCATCACGCCAACAGCCACGTCCACCACCTTCACCAGACGTCCCAGGTGCAACACGTGCCCGCCAATTCGGTGCACCAGCACCGACTCTCGGTCAGCAAAATCCTTCAGAGGGAGCCTGGCAGCCCTGCCTCGCCCGGCCCGAGGGAGGAGAACGGGAGAACAGGGATCCACGGTGGCGCGAACGGTGTTCAGAATAACAATGGGATCAATAACAGTAACCATCATAATAATCACAACAACAACAACAACAATAACAACAACAACAACAACAACAATCTGCAGCACCAGGCCGGCTTGAAGTTCAGTATAGACAACATATTGAAAGCGGACTTCGGCAGAAGGATCACGGATCCCATTTCGTTGAAGAAGTCCCGGCCGAAGAAGGTGAGCTCGAGGCCCATCGACCTGACCAAGGACTTTCTAGAGTCGGCCACCGAGACGACGGAGAAAAATAGCTCGGAAACTAGCTCGACGACCAACGCCACGTCCGGTGGCGTCACGACCGCCAATCCTGCCTCCAACACGCCCGGCCCACCTGTAACCGATCCTGGAAAGCAGTTGCCTTGGCCTGCCTGGGTCTACTGCACCAGATACTCGGATCGACCTTCCTCCGGTGAGTTCTTGTTCTTTTTTTTTTTTCTTTTTTTTCTTTTATCTTGTACACGCGTATCTTCGACGAACGAAAATATAACGTAACGCGAAACGATCCTTTTTTTCCCCAATAATCGACGATCGTTGAAAACGGTGCGCGAAGACAGAGATAGTGCAAAAGTATCGGCTATCGGATTTACACAAATTTTTTGAACAAGCGAAAGTTAAAATGGCCTCACGTTGCGTAACATTCGTACTCGAATCGATAGGAAGAGATATGCAACGTCGATCGGTCAACGAGTTTGAAAGGTAGATTTTCCTTTGAACGGTGGAGATAAAGCAAATGGTATTAATCGGCGACGTTTCCTGCCTCTCGTGATTCGACATTTACCATTTGCGAATGTTTACAAAATCGACCGATCTTTCGAGTCGAACGAAAATTAGGAACACGAGAAAACGACTAATGGATCGGGCTGATAATGAAATTTCTCATTAGGCGAAATAGGATAGGATATAACACGATTCATAGTCGAAAGTTCATCGACTACGAAGAAACATTCAACGGTATGAAAGAATAATATATTTCTCGGCCTCGGAAAAGAAATCGTTGTTACGTAATAGTTCTCTCCACAGCGCTCTGTCACGATCTCGACAATTTTATTTAGATTATCGGCAATTGGATGCTTTTTATATATAGCAACGGTTAACTAATTATCCCACGGATTCTGGCAGAATTAAACTAAACGTTCGACATTTCGCCCCAACATAAATAATTCTCGTTCTCTCGACGAAACAACGATTCACGACACAATAAAAGATAACCGATTTTAATTGAGATATTAATAATTTATCCGTGATGGATTGGACGAAACACCGGAGAAAAAGGACGCAACACGTGTGTAACGCACAAGCGTGTAAGAGAGAGAGAGAGAGAGAGAGAGAGGAAATAAGTTTCCATCGTTGTTGCACGATCGATTGATTAAGACGTACGTTTTAATTAGCGCGACAACAAGACGTATGATTTCACGTAAAAATTACCATTCCATCCGAGTCCATCCCCGCTCCATCAATTTCTATTCCTTGAATATTCAACGAGGCCTTTCCAACGAACCGGCCCCACCAGACCCCCGGGATCCGATCGAAACTTCCTTCCTATTAAACCGGCTAATTAGAGATTTATTTTGTCGCGTAGGGAGCCGCCGTTGGCGGAATTGTTTCCCCGGTTTCGAGCAGATGGATGACCCTTTGAAACGACACAGGAAAACGTGTAATTACTTTACTCGCCGACCGAGTGCCAGCTTGATGAATGGTAGAAAACGTTCCTTCGTGTCACTCATATCTGATATACGCTCATTGTCAGGAAACAATTGTTAACCACTCGGAGAAATAAGCTGCTCTCTGCCCCATAAATCAACCGGCGATATGCAACCAACTATTTCTCTCTTATTTGCTTTCGTATGCGTAACAACAATTTCCTATAGGTCATTCAGTTGTCGTATTCTTATGCAAACCATCGGTAAATAATCGCACCCTATTAGATCGCTTTTCTCTCGCAATGGTCGTCGTCGATGCTCGTCGTCGTCTTTCGTCCTCCCTTTTCGCGCCCCCCTCCCCCCACCCGTTCCCCGTTGAAAGTTATCGAGCTGTCCTCGGCTCGATCGCATTGTGTTAGAAAAAAATCCACGGTTAACACGATCCACGTTCGCCTCGCCACCCTATTGTATTTTAATGGTTAAAGGAGAACAAGGAAACGGGAATGCCACGAATTTCTCACGGATCATTTTTCCATCGACACACGCACTTTCCCGTGCGTTTGCTCCATATGTCGAGCTCTCTCTCTATTCGAAAGTTGTCCTGGAAACTTTGATCTTCGACATCTCCTCTTTTTCTTGATCTTAATCTTGAGATAAACTTCAACGTTGAGACACGATCATCGGAGATGATTATGCCTCAGGATTAGCTTTGTATACGTTTGTTTAAACATACGTACTCTCACGATCAACTTTACTTACAACTTTTTGTACAACTTTTTAAGTTTATTTTAGGGTCGGAAATGGAAAGGAAAAGAGGTGGCCAGTGAATTGTCATACTCGACAAAGACACTCGTCAAAATTATCAATCGGAAAACGCTTGATGAAAATCAAGACGGGATCTATCGATATCTATCCATGTACTTCGTTTCTCCACTTCGAATAACGATCGATTCGAAGATAACGTTCAGGATAACGTTGCTACTATTTGACCCGAGGAACAGCATGGACTCAGACGACGATAAATCGAATTCAAAACGTTTCTCGTTACGATCTTCTCTATGAATGAAGTCGTCGTATCACGGCCGATGGAACACGTAAAAGTGCTAAATTCCCGATTAATAATCGGTAGTTTTTCTTTTTTCTTTTCTTCTTTTCTTTTTTGCGTGACCGGTTCTCCGCCACGAACAAACGACAACGATATTGGATCACGTTCCTATTATGTCTTTACAGCGCGTAATTTCGCGGCCGACAGATAAATAGTCCGTTGAAACGGCCACGATAAAGCTTAATCACTGTTATTGCACCGGTCGCGCGGCTATCGCAGGTTGGGGACACGATCACGGCTGTGTACACGGCGGTTCTTTCCGCACCCACGCGCCAAGCCCAATATTCTCTTGTCGGATGTCAACGTTGCTTTTCGAGGAAATTGGAAGGAAAATAAGGATAAATATACGCGAACATACGAAAATAAATGTAACGATAACGGGAAATAAACGTTACGTGAAATTTGACGAACAAATCCTATTCTACAAATTCTAATTAGAATTCATGAATTGTTCCTTTTTTACGTAAGTTTTAAAAAATATGGTCGAGCGGTAAGATTGATCTGAAGAATGGAAACATAGTGCACACAGTTTAAAGAACTTTCGATTTCTCGAGGATTAATAAGAATAACAACAATATCGAATCGAGAAGTTTGCGGATTGCACGCTACTTTTTCGCAACGATGCAAAAACAGAGAGAGAAAAAAAAAGGAATGTTTTAATAACCAAGCTTGTCACTCGCTTCTCATGCGACAAAATTTATTAACACCGGTAAACGTTGTAACCGACGTTCTTATATAATTCCACCGATAATATTAATTCGATCGTACGACGACAAGATCGTACGACTATCGATACACGCAGCCACTTTATGGAAGGAGAGGCTAGCGCTGTGTAACGAGCGGGATCGCGAGCGGGACGAGCAAGAAATATCGCGTCTGATCTGGTTCTCCACGGTGACTTTATAATTTAACACTTTGCACTCGGGTGAAAAATGGCGGACGGTGTTAATGGTGCTTTATTGCCGGTCAGTCAAATCGAACGAGATACGCTTATGAGGCGGCGCGCCGCGGACCACCTTATCACTCGGATAAATTCGTTATTAATTACCTCGACCGATCGTTTCACGGTCCCCGCGGGAGACAGGAGACACGGCCCTCGAGGAAAGCCGAGGGAACGACCGCCTTGTCGTTAAGTAGAATTAGAATTTTAGTCGAGACGATCGCCTCGATTAAATCGGTGTTTCTCGTGACTCGGAATTATGCAACACTCGCGATCCATACCAAATCTTTTCCAGCCTCCATTAAGCGACTATTAAGCGTGATTATACGATCCTTGTTAATTCCCCTTGTAATTATATCGCACGATCTCAACGGCGATCGATCGATGATCGAACGAAGACAACGAGATGTATATTATTATATCGAAGAATAATTCCTTAGAAATATCGAAAAAAATGTGCACAGCTAGGGAATGACGAAGTCTTGTCTCCCGAGGGATACGTTCATTACCGCTCTACGCCGATAAAATTGCGAATATCTATACACGTTTGAGAAAAGTTGTGGTTAATTAGCTCTCTCGGTGTGTAACGGAAGATATTTCCATTAACGAGGAAAAGGGGGAAAAGATGGTTGCTGAAAGTCGTGGAAGAGAAAAAGTAGGGTGTATTCGTAGAGCGGGCCGATAAATGGCCGATATTCGCGACAAATGGGAAATGATTGCTCGCTCGGTTAACGAGGAGAAAGGGTCGCGAGCTTGTTTCGATTAGCGGGAACGGCTTAATGTAATGCGCGCAATTTTTAACGAGACGAAAATACGTTTGGAATACGAGGAAGGAATATTTATTGGAAACGAGGTGGAGGAATTCGCGTACTTTGTGTTTCAACACGATTTTTAATAGCTCGTAAATAACGCGCGCGCATTTCACTTGTGAACAGTGAAACAATAACGGTAGGATAAAAAAAAATTGTTATTTATCGCAAAGGAGAAATTTTTAATACTTCCATCTCGATAAATCCTGAAGTGTTAAAAATTTATCTGTATTATCTCCCCCCCCCGACCTATTTATCTACGAATCCTGTGTGTGAAACTCATTTCTGCATTCGAACAGAGCTCATTTCGGGTGAAACGAGGCTGAACGAAATAGCGCGCCGTTTAACACGGCGCATTTCATTCCTCTCTCCGATCTATCAGATCCTAGAAATCAGATTCTCCGATTGTTTTGAGTGCAATGCATTTAACACGGCACGTTTTATCAATACCACTTTTACCACCGCGGGACAAGACGAGAAGAAGAAGAAGAAGAAGAAGAAGGAA